CACACACACACACACACGTGGGCTTGTTGTTTTCATCTGAGAGGCAGCTTGGCATTGCAGCCCAGGGGATCAAAGACCCATATACCAATCAAAAGCTCCCATTGTCTAAAAACTGGACAAGATACCTTTGTCCTTTGAGCCTCAAATACTCATATGAGGTAAAATGTCCCCTAAGGTAGTTGCAAGATCATGAATAGTAAAGCCCTTTGTAAAAAAAAAGACTATGGTCAGCAATTTAAGTTTGCAATGATTACTTACTTTCTTTAGCTAGGAACATTCTTTTCTTCCAAACCATCAGCAAACATTCAGACTATTGTGGCCATTTAACAATAATGACAGAGCATTCTCTTTGGAGTACTAACCAAATCAAATAAAGATTGTTTCAAAACAACCACTTCATGTTTGTTATCCGACTATCTGTTCCACAATGACTTTCAGAGAAAATGAATAAAATTTAGTATACAAGAAAAAGTCACCGAAGGTAGCTAAGAGCTCTAGAAATTCAGACCCATTACTACATACTAGTTTTTTCTCAGGGACAAGTCTAAGGAATAGCTATATGAGAAACACATGTAACAGCAGCTACATTAATTCTTTTTAAAAATATATATATGTTTTATTGATTTTTTTTTTTTCAGAGAGGAAGGGAGAGGGAGAGTCAGAAACATCAATTAGAGAGAAACATTGATCAGCTGCCTCCTGCACATTCCCCACTAGGGATGTGCCTGCAACCCAGATGCATGCCCTTGACTGGAATTGAACCTGGGCCCCTTCAGTCCACAGGCCGACGATTTATCTACTGAGCCAAACCAGTTAGGGTTACATTAATTTTTGATGGTAACAGTTGTAGTCCTTTCTACTATGGGTTTTCTTAGAAACTTGTAGTTTATCAATCATTGCACTCACAAGGGAGTCCTAAATTTTGTTGAACAAGAGAAAAATGTCATCTGATATCTGGTAGAAAAAAAGAAGAGAAATGTAATCAAAGGATGTACTTACTCTTTAAGGTACTTGAGAGTTCATAAACAACTTTAATCTATTTAGAAGAGATATACGCACATCTGAACAAAGAATAGAAATGATCTTGGCCTAAAGAAATAGGAAACAATGCCCCAAATTAATACAATATCTTTTACAAACTCAATTGGATTCAAATGGAATTAGGAAAAATAACTAGCAATTATCTAAAACCAACAAAATGTTTTGTCAAAAAAGGTGGACAGTAAGTTTTTTTTTTTTTAAGGTAGTTTATTCTTTTTTATTTATTTATTTTTTAAAATATATTTTATTGATTTTTACACAGAGAGGAATTGAGAGGGATAGAGAGTTAGAAACGTCGATGAGAGAGATTCATCTACTAGCTGCCTCATGCACACCCCGACTGGGGATGTGCCCACAACCAAGGTACGTGCCCTTGACCGGAATCGAACCCGGGACCTTTCAGTCCGCAGGCCGATGCTCTATCCACTGAGCCAAACCGGTTTCGGCATATTCTTAAACTCATACATATGTAACCTACAGAAGACAAATTAACTCTGTTAAGACAGGAGAAATAAGGATGAAAATCACTTTTACTGTCATGGCAATCAACTATCAACATTTGATACATTTTGAGATCATTTTCATAACTATGGTGAAAGAAAAAAGAGGGCTGAGGAAATACTGTGCAGTTAGTTGTCTGGAAAGTAAATGAAATTCATTATGCCCGAACTGCATGGCTCAGTGGTTGAACATCCCCTTATGAACCGGTCATTCCGCACCTGACCTTCCCGGACCCGGCACAGGCCTGGGTTAAGCGGGTGTGCAGGAGGCAGCCAATCAATATTCCCCCCTCCTCACTGATGTTTCTATCTCTCTCCCCACCTCTGATAACAATAAAAATAAATAATAAATTATGTTTCTTTTATGCCTTTTTTTTTTTTAAATGTATTTTATTTTTTTTACAGCCATTGATGTTTCTAATTCTCTAGAAACATCAAGAGAGGGATAGAGAATTAGAAACATCCATGGCTACTGACGACAAAACTAGGCAAAGCTGATCTACATTGTGCTTCCTAAACTCTGCATCTAGAACGCTTTTTTTGAGTTTACAATTCCACCAACGGCTCAACCTGCCATTGAAATGTTTCCATGTATCCTACGCATCAGCGATTTCTTTTTTTAAATACTATTTATCTCAATAGGCAGGATGAGAATGAGAACTCATAAACGCCTGGTAACCTCCCGAATTAAGAGTTTATCATCAGCCTGATTATGATCATTACATAGAATGTTGTCCCACGCAGTGTGCACAGAAGAGATTTCAATCCAATTATTTTTATTTTCTAAATGCAGGTTTCTTTGAGTTGGTAGCAAGAGCAATTGCTCACTCCGACGTTCCAGGGAGATAATGTTAGCATAAAAAGCACACCTTGGGGTCCCTGAGCGATTATTTTCAGTGCGGTCTCCAGGCCTGGGCTGGGTCAGGACTAGGGCTTCAGAGGAAAGCCAGCAAACACGCTCCCAGCCCCTCACCCCGCCCCCGCCCCGCTTCGCTCCCTCCGAGCGGCCCCCGGAGCCCGGAGCTGGCCGGGAGGAGCGAAGAGAAAGCTCCCGGAGCCAATGGGGAGACCGCACCGGCGACGGCGGAGCCGGCTCGGCACAAGCCCACCCCCGCACCGCGAGGGGCTGGCCCGCAGCAGGTCGCCGCTCCACAAGCACCCGCAGCTGGGAGTCAGAAACGGCGCCTTGCAGACGCTCGGAGCACAGCCCGGGCTGCTCCCGCCGGGCGCGCCGGCACCGCCACACTCCCGGGGACGACATACGTGTGTGAGGCTTTATCTCACACACACACACACACACACACACACACACACACACACACCCGCTCCATGTCCGTGCCCGCAAGTGTGGTCAGCATTTCCCAGTGTCCCCGATTCCCTGCGTGACTCCCAGTGTTACACAGAACCCTCTACCGCGTGTGCAAAAGACCCCGAAGTCGGGCCAATCTCCACACCTACCTGCGTCTCACACCCAAGGCGCCCCCCTCGCCCACACCGGAGAGCCGCGCAGAGCCTCCCTCTCCGCGTCCCAGGAAGTGCGTTCCCGGCGAGCGCCCGGAGGCTTCTGGGAGCCTGCTCAGGTTCTCCCCGACCCCGACCAGGAGTGCCCGGGAGACTACAATTCCCAGAACCCACCGAGGCGCCGGCCGCGGCACATCCTGAGGCCGCCTCCCCCGCCCCTTCTCGCACCGACCCTATTCCTCTGGCACCTTCAGCTCAGTCCAGGTTTGGGTTATAAGTCTTAAAAAAAAATTTTTTTTTAATAAAAAACTTAAGTGGGAAAAACAAACAAAAACTAAAGGTAGTTTTGAGTTGGATATCCACGTAAATATTTCTGACTAAATGTGATTTATCTGTAAGGTTTGTTAGCAAAACACTTTGAAATACGTTTTTCCCCTCCAAGTATTTACCAAGGCATGAAGTGAAAAAGAGCTCAAACTGTATGATTTATTTTGAAAATGTTCAAAGGTACAGAGAATTTAAATAGTACAACGAACACTCATACTTACCTTCTATATTCAACCATTATCAACATTTGCCACATTTACCTTATTTCCATTTACTGTGTGTGTGTGTGATCATTTGAAAGTAGGCATCATGACCCTTCATAATTTTTTAAATCTAATCAGTCTTATATACTGGTAAGACTTTTGAATCCTTTATATTCTATTCACTAATACAGAATTTCAATTTATTGGCTATCATAGTGGTCAACACTCTACCACTGAGCCACGCCAGCCAGGCTGCACTGGTTAAATTTTATATTTTACCACCAACATGTATATTTTACAATAAAACTCATTAAAAAAAATGTCCAATCTATAAATATTTTTGAAACGCAGAAGTTATAATCTGAAGAATACATTTATGATTGATAATATTGTTTAAAGTTTGCACTTCCTAGTTTCTCTTTACTAAAATGTGAAAGTAGACAATGAAAAAGACTAGGCCAGTGGTCAGCAAACTCATTAGTCAACAGAGCCAAATAGCAACAGTACAACAATTGAAATTTCTTTTGAGAGCCAAATTTTTTAAACTTAAAACTTCTTCTAACACCACTTCTTCAAAATAGACTTGCCCAGGCCATGGTATTTTGTAGAAGAGCCACACTCAAGGGGCCAAAGAGCCGCATGTGGCTCGCGAGCCGGAGTTTGCCACCCATGGATTAGGCCATAAAAAAACGAGTCATACACCAATCAGCTCCAAAGTAAGAAAAAATAATCTTATACTTAAAAAAGAAAACGTTCAAACAGTTAAGTGCATGGCTCAGTGGTTGAGAACTGACCCAGGAACCAAGAGGTCAACAGTTCAATTCTCAGTCAGGGATCATGCTCAGTTTGCAAATTTGATCCCCAGTGGAGGGTGTACAGGAGGCAGCCAATTTATGATTCTCTCTCCCTCTTTCTGAGATCAATAAAACAAACAAATAAGTTTAAAGTAAATAAAAAGTAAAAGTTTCCAAAAATCTATTTGATTTTTGAATCTACTTGATTTTGAAATCTATTTGTTGCTGTCAAATATTATCAGTGATTTTTGTTATCACTGAACATTATATTCAAATTTAGGGTTTTTAGATTTTTCTTAAAATGAGAACTCTTCATAATTGAACCAGGTACATGACAGACTCAAAACAAACAATATCCAGTTGCTCACTTTAATATTTGAGAAATCCTTTCATTTATTTTTTTTTAAATGATCTCACTAGAGAAATATCAGAGGATTTTATTTTAAGTATCATAAGAAATATTAGAGGATTTTATTATAAGTAGATTGACTATAAAATTGTAAACTGTCATTTTCAGCTTTCACTTTTTTTAAACTATTGATATATTTAACTATAAACAAGTTAAAAAGATATGGTTCTGAAATGATAGTATTAGTAATAATAACTGTGGAATACATAATACTCTGTGGAAAAGTTTTCAAATAAACACAATTTCATGTACATATTTAATGGATTTAAATTGTATCCATTCTGGCATTTCTTGATAGTGGCTCACTATGAGATACTGTATTAGAAATCTGTAAATTAAGCAACTGTTTCTTATGAAATGCATCATTTTCCTGGTCTGCATGTTCATCCAGAGATTTCCTTATGCAGTTCTTTAATTCGTCAATTCCTTCTCCTGTAATTGCAGAGATGGGGATGATATGTTCGAACTCCATTGTCCTCTTTGGAGTCATCTTATCTTGAAACAAATGCAGAAAATCTGAAACAAAAGAACCACAAAACTATGCTGGTTTTCATTGTCTTTGAACTATGTTAAAGGTTTGATTTGTGAACCAAGAAACCAAAAACAGCATTTTTAATTCCTTTTTCCTTATCTTTCTAATATGCTCTCAGAAACCTTGGTTTTTACTAGTGACAATGATAAGATTCTTGACACATGGTAGATATTTGCTGGATTAAGATATTTTAAACCAAATTAAGTATAAATAAAAGAATCACAAAAGATGATTTACTTACAGAAGCAAGTCGCTTCGGGGATATTAAAATTGAGAAAGGTATGGGGATAATTCAAGGGGAGAGCATTTCAGATGAGTCTACTCATCACTCCTGAGAGATGTTCTATTATTTTTTCCTCTCCAAGGCTACCAAGGCAATGGGAAAGAGGGGTGGCATATAATGGGATGGGTCAATACTGATATGAACTGCAAAGGCTGGACTGAAAGAGAATGGACAAGCCAATAGGCAGCTTGGTTTCTGAGATTCATCTGCCCTCAAGAAGTCCAGAGAGCCCTAACCAGTTTGGTTAAGTGGATATAGCGTCGGCCTGCGGACAGAAGGGTCCCAGGTTCAATTCTGGTCAAGGGCATGTACCTTAGTTGCAGGCACATCCCCAGTAGAGGGTGTGCAGGAGGCAGCTGATCGATGTTTCTCTCTCATCAATGTTTCTAACTCTCTATCCCTCTCTCTTCCTATTGATAAAAAAAATCAATAAAATATATATATATTTTTTAAAAGAAGTCCAGAGACTAAAAACTCAGAAATTTGTTTTTGATGATCCAAAACAGCCACAAACTCTTGAGTAACTGCCTCTTCTGGTACTTCCTCTGAAAATGCCTTCTTCAAGATCATCTAGCAAACAGATCTAATGATCTCAAAGCAAATGACATTAAGGAATAAAGACTATTTACTAATTCCAGGGAATATTTATATCCCAAAAGTAACTCAAGGACAGCTTCAACATGTAAGTTGCACCAGGGAAATATTTTTGAGCAGAAAAAGAATCTTCTGGTGTTGTCTGCTATTCCTAATAATTTATTTTCCCCAATTTTTATCCCAGGGATAAAAACAGAGAAATTAGTACTATTTAAAAACATGTTAGCCACTTACTATCCTCCCTACATTTTCTCGTCTGTGAAGTTCTCTTGTAGACGCAGTAAAACAAAAGCATCATCACTGTAGAGCAGAGAGTTCTGCAAAGTTCAGTATTCAAGACAGTGGAGAGTCCCTTTATATGTTTTTATTTATTTTTTAAATTGTTTCTTATTGATTTCAGAGTGAAAAAGGAGAGGGAGAGAAAAATAGAAGAATTAACGATGAGAGAGAACCATCAATGGGCTGCCTCCTGCATGCCCCCTACTGGGGATTGAGTACACACAACCCAGTCATGTGACCTAACCTGGAATCCAACTCCGATTTCCTGGTTCATAGGTTGACACTCAACCACTGGGCAACACCAGCCAACTGCAGAAACTCTTTAAGTTCCTTTATACAAAGTGGTCCATTTAGAAAGAAATTTCAAACAAATAAATCCTTTTGGAGTAACAGCATCTATTTTTCTGTACATAGACACATACTCAAGTTCTCCTTTGAAGACCCATAGAGCTAACGTTGCAAAGACACATAAAGTACGTCTTCAGAACTATTGGCTGTTTTAAATTTACTGTGTGATAGGGAAATAGAGTCTAGAACCTGTGAAATACATTAAGATGAAAGATTTACAGGAAGATGCTGACTTTTTCCTCTTCTGATCCAAATAACTTAGTAAAGACCCAGTTTAACTTTTACTTCTTCATGAAGCCTAACCTCTTCAGCTCAAATGATATTTTACTTCTTTGTCTCCTTTCATCACGCATTCTGAAAGTTGGTATTACATTATGGTGTTATGTAACTGTTTCATATGGTATGGTTTCTGTCATCAACATACTTTTTTAAAGAGTAGTAACTGTCAGTTTTCTTTTCCAATGATTGTATCACTTGGCGCAAATCAGGTATTCATTACACTGTCATTAAATGAATGAACCAGTTTACCTTTAGGATTTTGGAGTTGGTTCATCAGTTCATGGAATTTATTTTGGGCATCTGGCAAGTCCATTTTATTTACTGCCAGAAGTGCAGGTTTTCCTTGAAGTTCCTCATTGTACAACTCCAACTCCTTTAAATAAAAAAAGACCAAGTAATTTTGTTAAAATATCTATAGAGGTTACCTATTTGTTAATATCTTTCTTTACCTGTAGGCGTAAGTAATCTAGAGCCCAGTCACATCTCTGAAATGCAATAAATCCCAACCACCACAAAATCAATTAACAAAGGAAACTCAGGAAAATGTTTAATAGTTAGGTCATGTGTCAATATATTTTGGCTTACATAACATCCTAGAGACAGCCGTGATTTGTATCTTGAGCTAAATACAAATATCTGGAATTCTACTAGGCATACAGATAAAATTTAGAATTGAATAGAAGAAAATCTTCATGACCAGGAATTAGGCAATAGTTTTTTAGCTATGACACCAAGAAGCATAAGGAAAAGAAAAAATAGACATATGAGACTTAATTTAAATTTAAAATTCTGTACTTCAAAACATATCATAAAGAAAGTGTAAAGGCAACTGGCAGAACAGGAGAAAACATTTGCAAATTGTGTATCTGATAAGAGAATTGAATAAAAAATATAATGAACTTTTACAACTCAACAATAAAAAGACAAATAACCCAATTAAAAAATGCTCAAAGAATCTGAATAGGCATTTCTCCAAAGACAACAAATGGCTAATAAGTACATGAAAAGACGATCAATATCATCAATCACTAGAAAAATATAAATCAAAACCATAATGAAATATCACTTCAATCCTATTAGGGTGGCTAAAATAAAAAGATAGACCATAACAATTAATATCTAAGCATATATATTAATGTGGAAAAAGTGGAAACCTAATACATTGCAAGTAGAATTATAAAATGGTGCAATGGTGCAGCCACTCTAGATAAAGTTTAGCAGTTCCTCCAAATGTTAAACAGAGAGTTAACATTAACAGAATATACAAAGTCCTGGAGATAAGAAACATCACACAGTGTTAGAGACAAGTCATAGGGCTGGATATAGAATGGAAGAGGGCAGGCAGAGGAAAATAGACTATGCTAAGTAAGGAGTCCAACCTTACCAGACCTCACACACCACAGTCAGGTTAGATTCTAACCTAATAGCAATGGGGCACCAATGAAGTATTTTAAGCAGAGAACAAACATCAGATTGGTTCTTGTACAAAGCTCACTCGAGCTGCCTCATAAAAAAATGGATTACAGGGAAATGAGACTGGAAGAAGAGACCAGATAGGAGGGACTTACAACATTCTAATGAGAGGGGTTGATGATTAAAACAGTGTAGATGAAAACAAGCAGATGACTTCAGCATAATTTAGGATATACTGGTAAAACTGACAGGGCTTGATACAGGTGGTGAGTACCATAGAATTAAGACCACCATCCAGGTTTCCTGCTAACATACTCAGTAATGTTCTGGAGGAGGTGGGAGAATTAAAAGGGGGAAAAGGGTTCAGTTTTATACATATTAAGTTTGAAAAGTTAATGGGATATGGAATTAAAGATGTCCAAGAGCCCTAGCCGGTTTGGCTCAGTGGAGAGAGCATAACCTGCAGACTAAAGAGTCCCGGGTTTGATTCTGGTCAAGGGCATGAACCTTGGTTGGGGCACATCCCCAGTAGGGGGTGTGCAGGAGGCAGCAGATTGATGTTTCTCTTTCATCGATGTTTCTAACTCTCTCTCTCTCTCTCCCTTCCTCTCTGTAAAAAAGTCAATAAAAACTATTTTTAAAAAAGATGTCCTAGAGGCCGGTCTAAAGCTTAACCAAAAGATCTCGGGGTCAGATACAGATTTGATAGTCATCAGTATATTTTCTTAAGTGAATGCTAATTAAAGAATAAACAGGCCCAGCCAGGATGGCTTAGTGGTTGAGCGTCAACCTATGAACCAGGAGGTCACAGTTCAGGGGATATGCCTGGGTTGTAGGCTCGATCCCAGGTGGGGTGTGCAGGAGGCAACCAGTCAATAATTCTCTCTCATCATTGATGTTTCTATCTCCCTCTCTCTCTCCTGTCCTCTCTGAAATCAATTAAAAAAAATTTTTTTAAATAAGCAGGAAAGAGCATAATAGCCTAAGACAGTGGTCGGCAAACTGTAGCTCCCGAATCATGGTTTGCATCTCTGTTGACTAATGAGTTTGCCGACCACTGGTCTAAGACGTAAGAATAAAAGTTCAAGAAAGATAAGGTTTGAGAAGTATGCAATAAAGAAGGTTTTATTGATTGCAATAGTTTGAAGAGCAGGTTAATACTGAAGAACTGGAGACAGCAAGTTTAGATAATTCTTTATCATCAAAGCTTCAAACAGTAAAGGTGGAATATATTTTATTAAAATTATTGTCATTTCCATAGTCTTATGTACCTATATATTAGACTAGATGCAGAATACAGTAAAAGAGCAACAGAAAACCTACTTTTGTAAGCAGTAATACAGTTTCAAAGGCAGTTCTGTATGGAGTTTGAGAAGAAAGTTGAAATCCAGAAACATCAACCTAAAATAAAATAGGGAAACATATCAGCCTTTAACCTAAGATTAGCAACATATTTCTGCTTTGCAGTGTTTTATTCTCTCAAGCTAAAAGAAAAAAATTCTCAATCTATACTGTATTGGTAATTTAGTAATTCAAAATAAGAGAGCCTGGCCAGTGCTCTCAGTGGTTAGAGCCCTGGCCTGCACAACAAAGGATCTTCAGTTTGAGTCCTGGTCAAAGTACCTGGGCTGCAATTTGATCCCAGCCCTGACTGGGATGCCTGTGGGAGGTAACCAATTGATGTGTCTCTGTCATATCAATGTTTCTCCTCTCTCTCTCTCTCTCTCTCTCTCTCTCTCTCTCACTCTCTCTCTTTCTCTCTCTCTCTTTCTCCTCCCCCATCCCTCCCACTCTCTAAAAAAAGTCAATGAAAAAATATCCTCAGGTGAGGAATAACAAAAAAACAAAAACAAAAAACAAGAGAAAGTGAAGTGTCAAGATAACTATAATTATTCTGGTAAAATCACAACCATTAATACAATGAAAAACTAGTATGGATAAGACAATTTACATTAATATGAACAGTGTCATAAATAGCTGACTCTTGAACACCTTGGGGTTTAGGGACACCAACACCTACTCCACCCTGCACAGTCAAAAATAAGTGTATAATTTTTTCCTCCCCCAAAACATGACTACAGTTCCTGGGTATCCTCAGGGGATTAATTCCAGGACCCATACACAGATACCAAGACCTGTGTATGCTCAAGTCCCATATATAAAATGGCATAGATTAATGTATACAGTCAGCCCTCGAACACTGGTGGACGCCCAACACTATGGATCAAAAACAGTACAGGTATTTATAAAAAGAAATCTGCATGTAAGTGGGCTTGCACAGGTCAAACCCATGTTGTTCGAGGGTCAGCTATGTATAATCTAACCACCAATAAAATAGGAAAAAAGACACTATGTAATACAGTACTATGGTGAAAATCTTAAGGAATTAAACCTTGACAAGTATGGCCAAACTTACATCAGATATAGTAAATAATGCCATTTCCACCCCCATATTATAAACAAAGATTATGATATTTGACCCCCATTTAAACAGACTTAGTGGAATCACATATACCACCACTTTATTATAAATATTTAAGAAAACTACATTCATTGGTTTTCTTATTCAGTTGAATATTTCATTTATATACATATGACTTACAACAAAAAGCAGTTGTTTCGTTCTTTCTACATGCTTGAGGAATTTGTAGCCCATTCCTTTGTTCTCATGTGCTCCTTCTATTAAACCAGGAAGATCAGCTACCAATATCTAATACAAAGTTAAATGGTTTGATAAAAAAGAAAAATACATGAAAACCGTAAGTAGAATTACATAAAAAAATTTCCATGGCATTTCGAGTATCAACAGGTCCTGGCTTGTAATTACCACTGAATCTTTATAAAGCCAAAATACCTTTACAACAAAATGTATTAAGAATCAAAATTCTTTGTGATCAGAAATTAGAGTCCCATTTTTAATTATTAATCTAACAATCTGGAACTTTAGGGATTAATTTAACAGTTATTAATCACAAAACTCTAGCCGAAACCGGTTTGGCTCAATGGATAGAACGTCGGCTTGGGGACTGAAGGGCCCAGGGTTCGATTCCTGTCAAGGGCATGTACCTTGTTTGCGGGCATATCCCCAGTAGGGGGTGTGCAAGAGGCAGCTGCTCGATGACTCTCATCGATGTTTCTAACTCTCTATCTCTCTCCCTTCCTATCTGTACAAAATCAATAAAATATATTTAATAAAAAATAATCACAAAACTCTAGTAAGAATTCCATAAATAGCCCTAACCGGTTTGGCTCAGGGGATAGAGCGTCAGCCTGGGGACTCAAGGGTCCCAGGTTCGATCCCAGTAAAGGGCATGTACCTTGGTTGCGGGCACATCCCCAGTAGGGAGTGTGCAAGAGGCAGCTGAATAGGTGTTTCTAACTCTCTATTGCTTTCCTTTCTTCTCTGTAAAAAATCAATTAAAAAAAATAAAAATAAATTAAAAAAGAATTCCATAAATAACATTGTTTAATGTGAAGTTTCCTTAGAATTTCAACTTTCTAAATTCTTAAAAGTGCTCAAAGATATTAATTCAGCTAGCATTTACTTAATACAGCTCTGCAGTTTTAAGTTTTAAATTGTACATGTAGTTAATGTTCCTTTCCTATTCATAATCTATCAGGAGGACTACTGACCAACCTTAAAGAGTAAATGATATAGTATCCTTATTTTCCTTTGGAGATGATAAGCATTATTAGCCATTATCCTACATCTGTGGTTTTCAAACCTCACTGTACACAATGATAAGTTTTATAAATTACAGATGCACAGGCCCCACAACTAAGAGATCTAGTTTGAAATCTCCAGGGTGTAATCTGGCAATTGTCAAAAAGCTGCTACAAACAAGTGTGTGCAGGTTTTGTTTGGACAAATTCTCAACTCATTTGGGCAAATACCAAGGAACACGATTGCTGATCGTACATTACATATTTTTGTTTTAGTCTAATTATGAAAAAGATCTACAGTTCTTCCTTATTAAAGAAAAATAATTTTTAATAGTTAGAAAAGGCCAAAATCCCATTCAACTAAAACTTTTCTAAAGAGAAAGTTGATATAAAACCATTTCCATGAACTTTTAAAAAATGTTTTTAGTTAATGAAACTTATTATCAAACATGGAAGTAAATATGGACTTGCAATGAGCAAAGAGATTAAGAAAATAAAGAAGCCCGGCCGTGCAATCCACTTATAAGTGAAATCATATATGGGACATAACACTGAAAGCAACAAATGAACAAACAAGAAAAATACACACACAAAAACTCAAAGATACAGACTAAGTAAGCTAGTTACCAGAAGGAAGGGGGAGATGAAAGGTAGTAAAGGTTAAAGGAGATCATATATATATGTGATGGAATATGAGTCAAGTTTAGGTGGTGGGCATGTGATGTAATTATACAGATGTAGCACTTGAAACCTATATAACTATTAACCAATGTCACCCCAGTAAATTTTTTAAAAATATAAAAAATAATACCTATTTTAAAAAGGCACATTCTTATACAATATTTTACTGATAATATTCATTATTGACTTGATCACAGTCTCACTATTAAAAACAAAATCTTGCAACTGTCCCTCTCCCCTAAACACCACAGAAACAGTCAAATATAAAGTCCAAGTACTAAAAGCAAGTACTTTCACTTCCAACGAAGTCTGTTACTTTAATTTTTTTACAAGTGTCATACTTTAAAAATACCCACCTGTTTGAAATCTTTATACATGATTTTTCCAAGTTCAGGCTGTAATGTTGTAACTAAAAGAAAAAACAATAATAAATAAAGCCTAAAACAAATGGTGATACTCTCAAAACTATCTTAGCATTATGTGTAAAATAAAAAATATTATTTTTCAGTAAACAAGTTAATTCAGATTAGTTCTCATTTGTCGATATAGAAGGTACATTATCTTTGCTATGTACAATAAACTTGTTAAAGAACAAACAGAGATGTTTATAATATACACAGTTCAATCTAATTAGTGGGCCTCAAAGTTCCTCTGTTGCACTTGAAGAAGCATGGTGGGTGGGCCAGAATTTAGACTTCTATCACTATGTCAGGTCTGGTCCTTTTACATTCAGTTATCTTCAAGCCTCACCAATTCTGCACTAGCCTCATAAAATTGTAACTAAACCAAATAAATAATTATGCAACAGAAAAATAAATACAACGAAATAAGTAGCAAGTACTAGGTACTGCTTAGGGCAGCAGAAGTTTCAAAGATTAATGGGAAATGCATACATTCTGCCAAGAGATTTCAAACTCATAAGGCTACCCTCAAGGGTTGTCATTTTATTCAAACTACAAGAAAGATTAGTTTTTAAAAATTCACCAATACACATTAAAATACAAAACAAATTATACTTACATGCATAATCTGCAACTGCAGGTTTTGCATGAGAAATTTTACTTAGCAAAGAGGATTTTCCAGCATTTGGGAATCTGAAATGAGAAAACGAATTTATACATTGTAACAAATATCATACTATTAATATTGTTTATCTCTGAATCCTTAACATTTAAAAAGCAAATTTCTTGAATGTTTTTGGGATTAAAAGAAGAGTGTTAACTTTAAGATAATCTTGAAAAACTCAAGGAACAAAATATACTTATGAAACAGGTAAAAATAAATTCATGCTGGACACTGAAAATGTTTTAGTATTGTAAATAAATAATTCAAATTATGTAAATAAAACTAGTAAAGCATAGGACAACAAAAAGAAACTAATAAAAATACCTGTAATCTACAATTTCTAGCAAATGCTGATAAAATACGACTTATAAACTATCTAAAAAACCCTTTTATTTTAATTTACTTTTTTTTAGAGAGAATATTATTCAACTGTAAAAAGGAGGAAATATTGCCACTGTTGTCAACACAGATGAACCTTGGGGCATTGTGCTAAGTGAAATAACTCAGACCATGAACAACAAATACTATATGATCTCATTTATACATAGAATCTAAATAAACAAAAAATCAAATTCATAGATAGTAGTTGCTGAAGGTGGGGATGTAGGGTTAGGCAAAATGAGTGAAGGGAGTCAAAAGATACAAATTTCTAGTTATAAAATATGTAAGTCATGGACCACATAATACATAGTATGATGACTATAGTGAATACTATATAATATTATATGATACTGTATTATATATTTAAAGGTTGGTAAGAGTAAATGTTAAACTTTCTTATCATAGGAAAAAAATCCATAACTAGGTTTGGTGATAGATGTTAACTAGACTTATAGTGATCATGTTGTAATATACAAATATTGAATCACTATGTTATACACCTGAAACTGATATATATGTCAATTATATCTGAATAAAAAAATTATTCAACAAATATTTATTGAACACTGACTTGTATCAAGCAATATCAAAGGCATAAAAAAATAGCAATCAATGAGACAAATGTGATCCCTACCTTCAGAGAGTTGTCATTCATATTTGAGAAAGCTCTTACAAAACTCTGCCAAACTTTCATTTGGAATAACAGTGTAGTATTTTGCAAATATTAACTCGAATTCTATAAAAATTTATAAGCTCTTAATAGATCTCTTTTAACAATTTTTTTATTAAATATATTTCCATAATAAATTTAGAATCAAAGTATGTGAGGCCTCTTAATGACTTGCTTCCCTTGGAAATACAGTATTTTCTTATATCCTGTTAAACCCAGTCTCTTGTAACTATTTGAAAAGTAAATTACAACCTTTTATCCATGATCATCTAGTTGGACTTGCTTATTTTTTCCAATATCCTATTTTCATAATAGTAAAGATGTAAGCATCTAACTATATTTCCAAAAGATCAAAATATGAGAAGAAAAAGGATGGTAATGGTTGAAGAACAGATAGTTGAGATTTTTCTTAAAAAGAACAGAATAAAAATTTTAGAGGCTGCCGAAACTGGTTTGGCTCAGTGGATAGAGTGTTGGTCTGCGGAATGAAAGGTCCCAGTTTCGATTCTGGTCAAGGGCATGTATCTGGGTTGTGGGCACATCCCCAGTTGGAGGTGTGCAAGAGAACAGCTGATCGATGATTCTCTCTCATCGATGTTTCTAACTTTCTATCCCTCTATCTTCCTCTCTGTAAAAAATCAATAAAATATATTAAAATAAAAATTTTAGAGGCTGAAATCCAACCTATGTGAAGGTCAGCTTTGACAATAGCAGTCCAAGTGTATGTTATACACCTTTCTTCAAAGGTTCACTTCACTGCTGAGACTAGCTAAAAGGATTTCTGCTTATGCTGGTATTCACAGTAGTAACTTTTTAAGAATAACTACCTAACTTAAAAGCACTAGAAAAATGTTAAGTATTATGCTTAAGAATTATGATGTGCTAATTATTTACTGTAACTCCAAGCCCACTTCTGAACAGCTTAGCATTTCACTACAGTGGCCTCTTATCAGGTGGCAATATAATGATCATGACAGCAGTTACCATTCATTCACAGAAATTCATAAATCCAAAGCATGTGCTGTACTGCAAATGCAATATCTTACCAACATCTTCTGATGAGAACTCCCCATTCACTTTTAAGATGAGTGAACAAAAACTTAGACAGTATAACGTATCCAAGAGTAGCTAGTGAACCCCCCCCCCTCCCCGAGGACTGGAGATTCTGATACAAATAGTCTCACCTGAGTCCCCTACGCCCACCCAACTTTTACTACTCAGCCCTGCTGGCTTTTCTTAGTCTGTAAAAGTGTCTTCATGGAACTTGAAACCCATTCTTCTACCAAATGAGAAAGTGAATGGCTGGGTTCTCAGCTGTATCCATAAAACCCTATTAAACTGATAATTTTGAAAAATATATAGTATTACAGAGCCTATGACTCATAAACCTCAAACTATGTTTTATTGGGGGGGAAATTACATGTGAATGGCAAGATTGAATGCCAGGATCACATCTTTCCCTGTTACAACTTCAGCAGGAACAGGGCCTCTGTGAACTCCAAGTCACTGCTGGTAAGACCTTGATGGGCGTGGGAAGAGGAGAGACTCACATGAAGAGTCTGGTAAAGAAGCAGTGAGATGGCTGGAGAGGAAGCTGAAAAGAGCTTAGAAGGAACCAATGGGAAGGCAAGGAATGGAATGTCAGTTTGGTACTCAATGGCAGCAGTTTCTACTACCTTTTGCTTAGGGCTTTTATCCACCACTGTGTAATGCTGTAATAGGGTCAGGAAAAGGAAGAGGGGAGGGAGGAGAGAGAGAGAGAGAGAGAGAGAGAGAGAGAGAGAGAGAGAGAGAGAGAGAGAGAGAGAAATGCAAAGAGCTAAAGTTTTCCCTTCCTTTATCTACTCTTTATCTTACAATCTAGCTTTCTCCAGTTGGTTGAGTGTAAGCACCCCAAACCCAACGCTAAACAGCATTATTTTGATGAAAACACAGGAGGTTGGTGGAAGAGGATAACATTGATAAGGTTGTCAACAGTACTGAGAGTGGAAAATCCTAAGCAGAGCATAAAGGAGGGGAAAACAGTTATTGCAAGATCCAACTTGGTGCTCAACAGTGTGTAAGTCTGATGGTTGGGACTGTCTGTACAGCCTTGAGCCATCTGATTAATGGTACATCAATACCTTTGTTAAGGCTTGGCTCAGTGGATAGAGTGTCAGCCTTCAGGAATGGAGGGTCCCGGGTTTAATTCCAGTCAAGAGCATATGCCCGGGTGGCAGGTTCAATCCCCAGTAAGGGGCATGCAGGAGGAAGCCAATCAATGATTCACTCTCATCACTGATGTTTCTATCTCTCCTTCCCCCTCCCTTCCTCTCTGAAATCAATAAAAATATACTTTAAAAGAAGAATATCTTAATAGTTTTCCCTTCTTTTTATACTTTTAAAAGCGTGGGTTGTTCAGATTTCTATTTTATTTCTTAATATCTGGTTACATTGTTTTGCTTTCTTATACTACTGCTTTTGATTGATCGTTTTCTTTATTCATTACTAACATTTCACTAGCCTATTAAATTGTTTTGATCTTTGATATATGAATAGTCAATATGAAACTCTGATGACATTGTGAAAATAACTACATTTAACAGCATATTCTCTAAGTATACCAACAATGCACAAATTCCATAATAGAGAAATAATGCTGGCCCCAAATTACAATTAATGATTATTTCTATTCATGAACTATCTGGAAGTATAAAAATAAAGATATGACTGATACTTACCCCACTAGACCTACATCAGCTATAAGTTTTAGATCAAGATGAATTATTCGTCTCTGACCTTTCAATGGTAAGAAATTTGTAAGGAATTTACCACCAAGTCCTCCTTCAGCTACCAAAATTCTGTCTTGTTCTTTATTGAGTTCTCCTTAAAAGAGAGATAAGGACACTTAGAACCAAGATTAGTAAGTGAAGCTAATCCACTAATGACATTTTTCTTTCAGAAACAGATACCAGAAATTTCTATTAAAAGCTTGACCTTGGCCTGGCCCGAGTGACTCACTAGTTAAGCATCGACCTGTGAACGAGAAGGGGTGGTTCAATTCTATCTCTCTCCCCCTCTCATTTCCTCTCTGAAATCAATTAAAAAAAAAAAAAAAAAAGGAAAAGAAAAAAAAGCTTGACCCTGCAAAATACTTTTTTATGCAGTTGAAAGAGATTAATTTATGTTTTAAAAACAAGTTAAATATTACTACATCTTTAAAATAATCTGAAATCTAGCAGTTAATTTTGAACAGTCTTTACATACATTTTAAAAGTTCTTTAATAAATTAACAGTTAATGTTTAAAAAAAAAAATTCTGAAACTCAAGAGGTGCTATTCCCCACAACTCCCAAACACAACTTTAGAATCTAAAGTACACTTACCTATAATTTTACCGTTTTCATCAGTTACTGAAATACCCACAGGTGCAGGAATTTCACAATCTTTTCCTTTGGAGCCTTTCAGTGCACTAACACTACAAAATAAAAAAACAAATAAATAAGCAAACAAACAAATAAATAAATAATAAACAGATAGATAAATAAATAGATAAATAAGTAAATACATAAAGCTAAGATAAAATAAGGAAACCCCACAAAATGAAATGGCTTATGCTTCAAGGAAATATAATGGCCTATAAAGAAGACTGGCAAAAAAAAAAAAAAGAAGAAGAAGAAGAAGAAGACTGGCAACCAACTCTTCTGATGTAGATCTTAAATGGCCAATAATAAAGGAAAAGTAAAAGTATTCCTAGTTATTTGTTTGCATTTTAGACTATCATATCCCAATAAAAATAATATTAAGTAATAATTTAAGTTACCAAGCTAACCACCAAAAGTCATTACAAATCATAATAAATTAATGTATTATACACCTGAAATGCACACAAATAGATTAGAATAGTAGTTGGCAAACTCATTAGTCAACAGAGCCAAATATCAACAGTACAACAATTGAAATTTCTTTTGAGAGCCAAATTTTTTAAACAAACTTCTTCTAATGCTACTTCTTTAAAATAGACTCGCCCAGGCTGTGGTATTTTGTAGAAGAGCCACATTTAAGGGGCCAAAAAGCCGCATGTGGTTCTGCGAGCCACAGTTTGCCGACCACTGAACTAGAAAAAGAAAAATCAATTGAATAACAAAACTTTTAAAAAAAACTGACCTCAACTGAGAGTACTTTAATTATAGGGGGTTCATCTAGATGCTCATGAGAGAATAAACTGGTACAAACTTCTAACTAATAAATTCTCTTCTGAGAATTTATCAGTTAGAAGTTTGTACCAGTTTATAAATTCTCTTCTGAGAATTTATCCTAAAAGAAAATAATTGAACAAACATGTAAACTACTATATATACATGAATGTGTATTTACATTGAATATAACAGTAAAAAAATCAATAATTACATAAATAGATGAATGACAAAATAATATTATTTCCAATACTATAATACTCTGCAGCCATAGTAAAAACAGCATAGAAAAAAAAGTTTAAGTGAAAACAGGTTGCAAAATATTGTCCTCTCATTTTTGTACTCCCAACTATCTACATACACACAAGATTACATTTGTGTAAACACACAGAAAAGTCTAAGAAAAGTTAAGAAAAGGTTAATACAGGTTATTTCTGAAATTATAGGTGACCTTTTATAAAACCTTTTTATTCCTAAACACCACGAGGTCAGAATCCCCACACCCACACATATGTGTAAGCTCTCTCATTCATATGACTTGTCAGTTATAATTTTTCATTTTTCAGGTCTTTGATTAATGTCTGTTCTCCCACTACACGACAGTAACTTGCAGAAGGAGAGAACATAATAGTTTAGATCATCACTGTATCCTATCCATCTAGTATAGTGATTAGTACATAGTGGATACTCAATTAACATTAGTTGAATGAATCGGTTGACAGTAATGGATGAATTAGAAATATAGTAAAGAAAGACTTAATAAAACACTTCTCTTATTGGGATATATGCTGCAATTTTACTTTCTATTAAATATCTTATTAAAAACACTGACACTCAAATTTCAGAATAACATTGGAATTTTTTAAATAGTTGAAATAGTATTTGATAATGTTCATAGTTGAGCAAGCATAAACCAGTTTACTGGGAGATGATTTCATGATGAACAAAAGTAGTCTGATTTTTAGTGGACATGTTATTAAATATGTGAAATTAAAATCTTATTCAATTATCTATATTTTGGAAGTAGTGTTTAAACCAAGACTTAAAAGGGAAATAGGACTTTGCCAGACAAGGCAGGAAAGAATCTGTTGGCCAAGGGAATATACATATATATATTCATATGTGTGTATACACACACACATACTGGATTAGGAAGGAACAAGCTGTTTGGAGAAATAACAGCTATCTCTAGTATAACACTACTACAAGTACGGTGTTGTGAATTAAAGACACTGTAGTCCAGATCATGAAGAGACAGATATGCTCTGTTGGAATGTTTGAAGATTACTTTAGGGAACATTGAAGGATTTTAAGTAGGCAAGATGATGTTTTAGAAAAATCACCCTAGGAGTAACTGGATAAAGGATGGATTGAAGGTGATGAATAAGACTGGAGACAGGAGACCAAATTGGAGAATATTGCAATATTTTATAAATATGACTGTCTGAATTAAAGTCTGGCCTGTACCTATCTTCCTCTATATTCTGTGTTTTCTGCATTCCAGCCACGCTGGCCTTCTTTTAGTGTCTTATACAGCTAATTGTCTTCTATCCCTGGGCCTTTGTTCATGTTACCTTTTCTGCAATGCTTTTTTCTCCCCTTCATCTCCCCTATTCATCCTTTAGATTTGAGCCTCTCTGTTCTAAAAATTCAACACACAATGCAGTAAGAAATATGTTCTATTTAAATCTCTCTTAACATTTAAACATTGTATACCATCTTTAAATATACCACTGATCTAAACACTTTAAAATATTCTGTATTCAAAGCTTACTGAATTCTAACAAATATAAGGCTCTCAAAATTTGTCTTATAAAACAGTCTCATAAAACAAAATGCTCAAAAGAAATTTAAAGGATTTTTCCAAAGATTCATTTACAAGCAGGGGTGCTGCTGCATATTTTGGGCAGGATAATTTGAGGTTGTTTTTGTTGTTGGGAGTGTCTGTTAGGGTGTTTAGTATCCCAGCCTCTCTCCTTTACTTTTATCCAACCCCAAGTAAGTGTCACGTTTCATCATTTGGTACTATGACAAATAAACATATCAAAACAGAAGGGGGGAAAAAAACCAGACATAAAATCTAGCTGTTATACCAATACCTCCTATGGAATAACAGAATAAGATAGGCCTGAGGAATCATAGCCTACAATTTAATGGAAGCTTTAAGAATTTTTTCTTCATTTTCTTTATAACAAAAGAAAAAATTCTTCATATTTTAAGGCCAACATAATATGTTCCATAGAAAAAACAACACTAATGAAAAATAAAGGTTTTGTCACAGAAAGAAAAAAACAGAAGCAAAAGGGAAAACATATAAGAGATATCAGTGAAACAGGCTCTAAATTTTCAGCACTGCCTGGAAGACGCTGGTGGAACTACTGATAGGATGGAGTAGCTTAGTTGAGATTTGAGAAAGGTTTCCGAAAAGAAGAAAACAGTGAGAATTCACTTTCTGTTTCTACAGAGGAAGTGCAAACAAATATAAACAGACATTGGGAGAAGAAAAGGATAAAAAATACTCCAAAACATTTCTTAGTAGCTATCTTTACTAGAGTTGAGACAAATGAAGATTTTTGCTCAGTTACAAATACAGCATATAATTTACTTCAAATCACTAATTACAACTTTATCTTTTAATTTTTTTCCTTCTGGGAGGGATTACTTTCACAAAATCAGTCATTCAATAAATACTCACCGACTGTTTGCTCCTTCTCCAGCCACAAACCGTTTCTGAGGATATTTCTCTTTAAGTTGTTTTAAAGTCATTTTTTTGTGGGCTACAACCCAGACGTCACCACCTTTCCCACCTTCTCCACCTAAGCGAGGGAAACCCATTCCACCACTTCCTCCCCTGGCGAAGAGTCTAAGGTTATCAATGAATTTTCCATACTGAAAAAGAGGAGAAAGAGAACAATTGTACTCCAAATGTGCTTACCAATAAGAACTACTTTCTAGTTATTTGTTGCCACTAAAATGCCTACAAAAGCAAAAAAGGGCTTCCTGGATGCAAAATTTAAAGTCTTTTCTCAGTTCATCTCCTGTCTGACCTCCTCTTCCCATTTAACTCTTTTTTTTTTTTTAATATATATTTTATTGATTTTGTACAGAGAGGAAGGGAGAGAGATAGAGAGTTAGAAACATCGATGAGAGAGAGTCATCGATCAGCTGCCTCTTGCACACCCCCTATTGGGGATATGCCCGCAACCAAGGTACATGCCCTTGACTGGAATCGAACCCGGGACCTTTCAGTCCCCAAGCCGACGCTCTATCCATTGAGCCAAACCGGTCCCAGCCCATTTAACTCTTAAAACCTGTATCTCTCCCTCCCCCATTATCAACTGTTGTCCCACCTACCCTCAAGGTCTCTGACACTGGTCCACTTTTCCAACAAGACTGTCTGCCCTGGGTGATTCCAGCCTGTACCAGTAACTATAACTTAGGTGAGATAGTCTCTATGTCTACTGGAAATCACCAAGACATAAGCTAGAGCAATTGGGAACAAGATCTGTATTTACCTTACATTAGAGACCCCTCAAATATCGATATGTAACTTGTTCTTGGGTATTGAAAGGATAAGTCATCTCAAATACATGTTACTATGACAGAACCAAACTTTTTCTTAAGTGAAGTCTGTTCCTCCAATGTTTTCAAATAATGGAAACATAGTTTACCACTCATGGAGACTACATGTGAGAATCTTTGATTATACCTGCTCCTTTTCCCAAAGCCCTAGCTCTTTCCTTCCTGGTACTAGTACTCTAGTACCAGGGTAAACTGCCCTAGTACCTTAACTGTTACATTAGCTCCTAACTGGCCTATCAGTGTCTAGTCACTCCTTCCTCAACCCATCCTGCATCTTGCTGACTGAGCTATTTTCCCAAAAATGGATCTCTAAGCATGTTTCTCCCTTATCCAAAAACTATTCAAGGGTTTTTGTGTGCCTGTGTATGTTTTGCTGTTTATGAATTAGTCTACAATTCTCAGTACTGCCCTAGGCAGTTTCGCTCAGTAGATAAGAGCGCCAGCCTGTAGACTGAAGGGTCCCAGGTTTGATTCTGATCAAGAGCACATGCCAGCGTTGTGGGCTCCATCCCCAATGTGGGGTGCACAGGAGGCAGCCAATCAATGAGTCTCAATAAAAATATATTAAAATCCATAAAAATATATTAAAAAAATAAAATGCTCAATACTATATTCAAAACTCTTAACCTACCCTCAGTTCATTTCCATTCGTTCAACCCCTCCTATGCTCTTCCTCTTTTGCTCTGTACTACTAGCTATACTTTCACACCTCCATGCCACTCTGCTCATGCTTCTCCTCTACTTCTGTCATTTGTTCCTTTCTACCATAAACCCACCTGAATGCCATTTGCTGATGTCTTTCTTAATTCCTTCAATCAACACTTATCAACTTTGCCCACCTCTTAGTCACTTGATTATAGCTCTGTTGGTATTAGTACACTTTCTGAAATCTTATACAGCATTGAGTATTTACTTCTGTTTCCCTGACTAAATCAAGACCTTCTTGCAGGTAAAGAGCCTATGTATTAACTCTCAGACTATCAAGATTTCTTACAGAGTAATTTCTTAAATTAATAATCTTCACATCTTTAGTCATCTAGGGTAGTTGCAACTATCGAAAACATCTGTAAACCTTTTGCAAAATACATATATTCAGATGACCTTTCTGATATACTCTGGAGGAGGGGGGGGAAGCTATGTCAAGCCAGGACATCTAGCAAAAGCTCTCTTGCTGATGCTGATGCAGTTCAGACATGAGATTAAGGTGCATGGGGTCGTAGCAAAGAATCAAAGTGCAGGGACTCATTTAAGTATGCAAATGTACTCATAAAACAAAGTGTTGTAAGAGAATAGGGTGGAAGTATATAAAAGATAAACTTGAGGGCCAACCAGAGCATTTTTCTCTGGACGTGAACTTATGCTGTGGTTCTGGAGAGGCTAGATCAGAAATGCATCACCTGTAAGTGAAGAATTAGATTCCAATTGCAAATGACACTGATTGGAAGTGACTTTTTATGGCAGTAACGTTACACAAGTTAATAACTGATCCACAACAAAATGCAGTAGTTTGTGCATTTTTACTGCTTTAGATTGAACATATTCAGAGACTGAGAACCCAACCTTAAAAGAAATACCCCAATCTCATCGTTAGTAATAAGGTAATACCCAAACTACACTGCTGGCTAGTTTCAAAAAGCATTACTAGTAAGGCTCTCAAAAAGGCTTTTAAGTTTGAAGCAACTTTACATTTTTTACAGTTTGCTTTTAAAACCGACACTACACAAAAGATGACCTAAATTTCTTGCAAGAAGGCAAGCCTACTTTTACATATTTTCATTTCCCTCTCTCCCTTCCTCTCTAGTAAGAATGCACCTAGCTGCTAGCACTGATGAAAAGTGTCTTTAGAAAGCTCCTACCAACAATGCACTGAAGATAAAATGTATACGTAAACGGCCTTAGGACTACGAATACTATTTCTTAGAAGGAAAGTACACGATCTGAGCCAAAAGCCAAAGCCAAACCTACACTCCACGTATACGGTATTGCAGGTCTAAAAGCAGGCACAAGCCCCAGCTCCTCATCCCACGTCACACAACTCCCCAGAAGAGCCTCATCCCGGGTCCCCCAACCCCCGTCCCCCACCGAGCCGGGTAGACACACCCCCGCCCCCGGGCCACCCCGAGAGAAGACGACGGAAGAAAAAATAGCAGCAGAGAGACCCCCAACCAGAAAGAGGGGGTTGGGAGAGGAGGACCAGAGCCCCGGCCCTGGGCCATCAGGCGCAGGGGGCGCCAGCCACGGACCTTCCTGTACAAGGCGCACCCGCAGCGCACCATCGCCGCGACCCGCCGGCGCCGGCACCGGCTCCCGCGGAACGTGTCTGCGCCGAATCCCCGCGCAGCCTTTTACGTCATCGCCGGGCGCCGACGGTGTTTCGCCGCGGGCTTCGGCGGGAAAGCCGCATGCGCCCTCAGCTGCACCTGCACGGGGAGAGGCGCATGCGCGGTGGGGTGCGCGCTGCGGAAAGGGGGTTGGTATTCTGGTTGTTGGGAAAGCAACTCAGCGCTGTTAAGCAGGGTCAGCCCGGCCGGCCGTGTGGCTCCGTGGGTGAGCCTCGGCCCAGGAGCCAGGAGGTCAGGTTCAATTCCTGGTCAGAGCACAGGCCCTGGTTGCGGGCTTCCTCCCCAGTTAGGGGCGTGCTGGGTGGAGAACAATGCTTCTCATCATTGTTTCTAGGTCTCTATCCCTCGCCCTTCCTCTCTCTCTAAAAAAAATAAATAAATAAATAAAATTAAAGTATGTTTTTTAAAAAGATATTTCCTTGTGAAAGATATATTTTGTATGATGGTAAACTGTTTGTCAACAGACGAAAATGAAAATTGTCAAACCTGATTCTCTTCTTTGTAGATCGTCTAAATTGATTTTGTGTCTTCTTACCCTGTCAATTAGATCCCCCACTTTTTGTCTATCATGCTCTGGTTCTGTTTGTCCATAACTAGGTTAGAAACAGCAAAGGTAAAGTCTGTCATCAATTTCACACCCCTCTCTCTGGTGTTCATTCGTTTCCTAGAAGTGACAGGATCTGCTCCTCCACACCAAAAACTCATTTTCCAGGGCCCTCAAGGGAACCCGGTGTTCCTTAGGCATCTTTAGTGTCCTCTTTCTTTACTTTCATATCAAAACTTAGCCAGCCCCTACTTTATTTTGAGGACATTAGCAAGGACTATAATTTTTGTTATGAACATTATAGGTTAGCAAGCAGTAATCATTACATTGGATTACTAGTACTTATTAACAAAATGCTTCCTCCACATTTCATCTTCCAGAGCCATCTCAAAGACAAAATGTTGAAATAATAGGTGTGTATTTTAGTATTCATAACCTCCCTTTTATGCGTCCCCCTTCTCTTCTTTATAATTACTTCTTCTTACTATAGGTACTAAGTACCTCCCTGCCTTCTTCTGACAGTTCCCATTGAAACGGAATCTTAGGCATGGATTTGATACCTGTATTTTACTAGCTGACATGACTTTTAAGTCAGTGTGTTAATTCTCTTGCAGCCTTTACTTTTTTATTTTTTATATCTACTAAAACAATTTCAAGCTATATTGTAGGAGATACTTCAGTGTAGGAAATATATAGAAACAGAGGAGGCTTCTTGATATCACTGATATAATAGAATATCACAGCTGACTTTGCTTCTATAAGACCCATTATAACCTAATTATTTTATTGATTCTATAACTTAATTGTCATCAAGCTTCACTAGCTTTCGTATACAAAGGAAATAATATAACCCAAAGCTCTTCTTCACTGTAATCCTTTATCGATACTGATCTCCAGAGATGGTTTCCCCTCCTTAAATAACAAATTTGGTCATATCACTGTATTCAAGACCCCTTATAGTCTCAGAATGACTGCTGAGGTTCTAGCCATCATATCCATGTTCCAGTTGGGAACATTTATGAAGTTGCTTTCTTGGAAGTTCTGTTCTCAAAAATTCTTGCCACCTTAATGTAGAAAAAAAGCTGGATACATTGCTATCTCTAACTATTTAGCTATCAATGTCTTATTCTTTTTAGTATAACCTAACAGAGTCCATCTGGCTCAGGCCTTGGACTCAGTATATGTTCTCTGAATATTTATTTATTTATTTATTTATTTATTTATTTATTTATTTATTTTTAAGATAGACAGTAGCTGGATCACTACCTCCTATGACATATGAATCACCTGAAGTGGGGCATAGAGTTATTCTCACTCATTAGCCTTATAATCCCCAAAAGTAACAATCAAATATTCTTTTAGTTTCATGCCATTCAAAATATTGTTATTCTGAGAACCATTATGAATTGGGTTTTACACTGTACAATTAAATCAAGTGGATTGAACAAATGAGAGCTATATACCAGGTAAGCTCTTAATCTTCCTAAATTAAAATGTAGCATTGTCAAAGTGAGAGCCTTAGGCCATATAATTTTTGTCCTGAAATAATACCTAAGTAAAGAAAAAGGAAGTGGCTTTATCTCATTGTCTTCCCTCTAAGGAGTTATGGTTTGTTCATTCATCCATTCATATAACAATCACTGAGTAACTAATTTATCTCACACACACCGCTATGTGCTAGAAAACTGCCATGATTTTTAGAATTACTAAGCAAAAACAATAAAGCAGAATAGTGGTGCTAATGAAAGGAAGAAGCAAAATTTACTATTTCTGATACCAGAATTCAGTGAGTAGATAAAACTTATTCCTAAAGAACACGAATTTATTTTGCTCTTAATGCATCCTGTTTTTAATAGGAAGGATATCGTTGAAAGGTTATTTTCATAGAAATATTTATAGAAATCCTAAGAATTAGTTGAATCATGTTTGTAAGAACACATTATCAACCACTTGTACTAGAGGAATAAAAATACCTTAAATTGCTATATTATGAGTCATTGGTTGTCTTCTTTTTTTAATATACTTTCTTTTAATCATCTATAGGTATAAGAATGGCAGTGGAATTGTCATGAAGCCCTTTGATAATGATGCTTCCTGCTTGTCCAAAACAATAGTGTTCAGGCAGCAGGAAATTCAATAATATGCTCAGGATTCTCATGTACCTACACCATTTTCTTTGTTGTTTGTTACTGATGCTTCATAAAGTAATAGCCATTTAGAGTAAAGTGGAATTCTTAGATTTTTAAAGAACAATTCAAAATAAGAAAATGAATGTTCATATCAGCACATTCATGTACAGTTTGTCTTTAATACTGCCACATCATAAAGTAGCCAGCTGGAATATTCTTCTCTAGAAAGAAGCATTGGCAGACTGCAGTCATTAAGCCTCACCACAGTGGTTTGTTCTCTCTGCAGGATTCTTGGAGGCCCCTGCACACCTAAATGAGCATGAAGAAGGGATCAGGCAACTCCTACTCACTGCCCATTGGAGCTGGAGGACCTCAGCAGTCCAATAATTTTATGGTCATTTCTGTAAAAAATATGAATTTGGGTCTGACATCTTACTTTAGGACGAAGCAATTACTTCATCTTGATATGTTGGCTATAACCTGTCATTCAATGTTCTGAGATATTCCCTTTTGGGGAAATATGAAATTTGGGACTGGGATTGAATTTGAGTAATTTGCTCACATTATTTTCTATTCTTTTGGTTTTTCTGCATAATCCCATACTCTTGTCATTTCTCTTCTTAATTTTACTTATGGACAGTTGGAGAAGGTATGAAAATAATTAAAATAATGGTCACTTAGGCTTTTATGTATACAGATAGTACTGGAAGTCTTAGCCACAGAGATCAGACAAGAAGAAAAAAAGTTAAAGACACCCAAAGTGTAGAGGAGGAAGTAAAACTCTCATTATTCACAGATGACATGGATATTGTACATAGAAAACTGTAAAAACCCCACCAAAACACTGCTAGATTTAATAATTAAATTTGGCAAAGTAGCCTAATACACAATTAATATCCAGAAATCTATGGCACTTTTATACACCAATAATGAACTCAGAAAGAGAAACTTAAAAAAAAAATCCCAAATACCACTGCAACAACAAAAATAAAATAAGATACCTGGAATAAACTTAACCAAGCATTTAAACCCATACTTGGGAAACTCTAGGATATTGAGAAAGGAAATAGAGGAAGATACAAACAAGTAGAAGCATATACAGTGCTTGTGGACTGGAAGAATCGACATAATTAAAATGTCCATACTACCCAAAGTGATTCAACACAATCCCTATTAAAATATCAGTGTCATATTTCACAGATCTAGAACTAATATTCCAAAAATTTATATAGAACCAAAAAAGACCCTGAATAGCCTCAGCAATCTTGAGAAAGAAGAACAAAGTTTGAGGGATCACAATATTGTTGAAACTATACTACAAAGCCATTGTAAGAAAAACGGCCTGGTGCTGGAATAAGGACAGGTATATAGACCAATGGAACAGAACAGAGACTTCAGATATTAACCCACACCTTTATGGTCAATTAACATTTGACAAAGGAGGCAAAGAGCATACAATGGAGTAAAGATAGTCTCTTCAATAAATGGAGTTGGGCAAATTAGAAAGGTGCATGCAAAAAAATGAAATGACCACCAACTTACACCATACACAAGAATAAACTCAAAATGAATAAATGATTTAAATGTAAGTTGCAAAACTATAAAAATCTCAGAATAAAACAGGCAGTAAAATGTCAGATATGTAGCAGCATCTTCACTGATACATCTTCTAGGGAAAGAGAAACAAAGGAAAACATAAACAAATGGGACTACATCAATCTAAAAAGCTTCGGCATAGCAAAAGAAACCACCAACAAAATGAAAAGGAAATCCACGTATGGGAGAACACATTTGCCAATGATACATCTGATAAGGGGTTAATTTCCAATATATATATATATATATATATATATATATATATATATATATATATATCATACAACTCAACACCAGGAAGACAGACAATCCAATTTAGAAATGGGCAAAGGACCTGAATAGACACTTCTCCAAAGAGCTCGTACAGATGGCCAATGGATATGAAAAAATGCTCAACATCACTGATCATCAGAGAGATGTAAATTAAAACAATAACGAGGTATTACCTCACACCTGCCAGAAGGGCTATTATCTATAAATCAGCAAATGCTGACTACGATATGGAGAAAAGGGCACCCTAATACAAAGCAGATTGGTGCAGTCACTGTGATAACTAGTTGGAGCTTCCTCAAAACATTTAAAATGGGCCCTGGCCACTGTGGCCTAGTGATTAGAGAGTCGGCCTGTGTGCCAAAGGGTCACCGGGTTCAATTCCAGGTCAACAG